GCTATAAAAACAAAAAAATATTCAACTTGTATTCTTTGTTAAATCCTTTTTACATTAAAACTAATATTGTTTTATTAATTTCTAACAAAGTTAGTCAATTTTTGAAAAAACAGGGTTGCGGTTTAATTTATGTTATCTTGATTACTTTTTTTTTTACTGCAGAAAACATCAATAAAACGACTCAAATATGATTTTAATAAAAAAATTTCAATCAAACTCGTTTAGCACAGATATATTCCCGAAGCAATCAAATTTAATGCGCGATAAGTATGTTTAAATTTCAATAACAGTCTCTCATTTCGACTTCTTTGTGTTGAAAGTAATACAGTGAGAGAGTGAGAGAAATAAAGGATACAGATAGAAGTAGGGAAAAGTTTCAAGGGAGGTTTTGATCTTTCAGAAAGTGGAGCGACTAAAATCGGATTCGATATATATCCTTCTGGTTGGATAATTAAATTGGTAGCTTAATATATTCTCTTGAAAGTAATTAAATCTTCTGTTAAGATTAAACGTGCCACGCGTATGTACTTACTTTAAAACTCCTGAAATGTACCTGGCTGTCGCCTACTACTTTGTCATTTCTTCTTGTTTTACTTTTATTCTTAAAGGACTATTACTTTACTATACTATACTTATAGAAAAAACTGCTAACATCTTTGTGATTAAAATAAGTCATTTATTTTCTTTCTTCCTTCTCATTTTCTTATTCCAACTATTTGTCTTTCAGTGATAGTGATGATGATGATAATGATGTCGCTTGATTAAATTTGACATCGCCTATGTTGCTGCTTAAGCAGCCAAACATTTTATTGTAATAGTGTTAGGCTATATAAAACCTGGCACCAGCAGCTGTTCTGACTGATCTATTGTGGTAATTAAATCAGGAATAGAGTAAAGAATTATCGTGTTAGTAAATGGATCGCCATTTTGTTTTCTGTCTCTTTCTTTCTCTCTATTTTTCTTTCTCGTTCCGTTATTTTTTGTTTTCTTTTATTAAATTTGCACAATGGCGGCTTGGTAGCTTGAAATTGTAAGGAATACTGCTCTTTTGGTAAACAGATATTAACATTGAAAATACATGGTGCATAAGTGCAAATCAATGATCAAAATGAATAAAATATTAAACGTGAATAAATATTGTTTAGTTTTAATAAAATTAAGTTGATTAATATAATTCAAAATTAATTTAAAATAAAATCCATTTTTTATTATATTTTATTTTATTTCGAACGAAACCTGCATGTAATAAATTCAACAAAATATTATATAACGCGACGGATAATATGAACTTACGTTAATAACTCACATTTTATTATGATGCGTGTGTGGGTGGCTTATATTGCAATATTACATTCTAGTAAACATAATTTTGCTAGGATTCTTCGTTCTTCTAACCATAAGGTATTACTTTAACCTTTCGCACTCGGTTGTTTCCTCTGAGGGGGATATGAAAGTTTATTAGCAATTACGGAGAATGAACTGATTTTACCGCAGTTTTTTAAGAAACACATGTTTTCCTGTAGTTTCCTATTAAAATGGTACAAAAAATAAATCAAAATAAGATAAAATTATCAAGATGCATGATAAATCAATCGGTTACTTCGAAAGAGAAGGTGTGAAGTTCTGTTACAATATGTAGAATTAGTAGAACAAAGGTACACAAGTATGTAGTTCAATGATATAGATCAGCGGTCACCAAAATGGTGGTACGCGAACAAATTTCGCTGGTCCTCAGGAAAATTTGGAATATATTTACTCATCATGTTAAATTATGTTTTAAGATGCATTGAAACATAATTCAATTCATAACAATACGTGAAAAGTTATAAAAACGCTACTTTATAGAATAACGTTGTTGTTTTTTGTTTTTACGTTGTATTGTTTTGTTTTTACAGTTTTTGTTTATTTTATTATGCTTTATTATTAAAGATTTCATAATTTGGTTACAATTAAGTTTCATTTTATTAACAGGGTACATTTTATGTGTTCTTAGATAACAATTTTTTTAATAAATATATTTAACACTTAAAAAATCGTATTACTGGTCCGCGGGATTTAAATTATGAATTTACTGGTCCATGAGGTCAAAGAGTTTGGCGATCGCTGATATATGTAGATAATAAAGAAATCCGAAAACTGAGAAAAGAAATTTACAATAACTCAGTGTTCGTATTGAAGCATCGAACAGTAAAGATCTCTCTCTCTCTCTCTCTCTCTCTTTCTCTCTCTCTCTCTCTCAGTAGTAACACAGTTGTTACTATAAGTCTCGCAGTAATAATACAGTGTTGTGATTTCGTAATTTATCATTAGTAATTTTCAGACCCTTTCTTTATCAACTCAAAAGAAAGAAACCAGTGACACACATTGGTTTTTGTTGTTTTCTTTCACAAGTTTGTAAAAAGTCTTGTAAAGCAATTGAGAGATGATTTTGGAGAAACTCGAACACGTCCATCTACATCTTTGTCAGACAATAGATTGAATAATAAGTTACATATTCCAAGTCTAAGCCCCAATCCTTTTCAACTTGATAATGGACGAAATAATCAAAGAGGTGAAAATAGCTGGAAAACGAATTAAGCTAGGAAAAGAAAATATAAAAATAATTTGTTACGCCGATGACGCAGTTAAAAAATATTGGAAGATGAAAAAGATCTGCAAAGGATGTTAAATAAATTCGAAAAGATGGCGGGAAAGCTTAATATTTTAAAGACTTTCGCTTACGTAAGTAAGCCGAAGCAGACTTCGCCAAGCGTAAGTCTGACAGATTTCTCTTCGGTCCTTAAAGTTTTAGTATGACCATTTCGGTACAGACGACTGAATTACTCACCATCTCCAAAGAGCCTAGACGACGCAAGTTTAGCAGTATATAACAAAAGTATCAACCAAGTGATGCGATCTAACCCTTTCGCTATTACGGGCCACTATAGTGGCTCTCCATAAAATGCCACGTATTTTACATACGATGAGCATATGCAGTTATAGCACATCAAATATTCCATTATAGGGTGTAATTTTAGTGTTTTGTTTCTTTCAATTAAAAACTGTTAATATCAGCAACAAAATTACTTAAAAATAAAGCGCAGTTTCGATGCTGCAGGTATTAGCAGCCCGTACAGCAGAAGTAGCGCCGCGGAAAACACGTCCGTGGCGAAAGGGCTAAATACCTAATGACCATATTACAAGTGACAGAAACCTAGAAGAGGAGCTACGAGACCAAACAACTAAAGCCTTTATAATCTCTAGATACCTTAGAAATATTATATGAAGAAATAAAAACATATGAGCATCAAAAAAGCAAAATACGAGCTTAAAAAACTTGCATCAGACTGATAATTACCTATGTGGTAGAAGCAAGGTTCACTACAACAAAACAGCTAAGAACTATGAAAGGGAACTTACTAAGAGATAGAAGAAGAAACAAAAAAACAAGAGAGGACTGTGAGATCCAAGATGTTGTAAGGTGGATTAGAAGGAGAAGAAGAACATGGTGTGACCATGTAGACAAAATGGACAACAATAGACTCCCGAAAGTGGTGAAATCAGGAAAATTTGGAACAACAAGACCACTAGGAAGACTACCAAAAGGGTGACATGAAAGCTGGATGTCGACATCGTAAAAACAACAAACGCCCCGAGGAAAGGAGACTTAAATATATAAAACAGGATGTAATCCTATCTAGAAGAGGAAGAAGAAGATATTCCAAATATGGGAGAAAGAATACGGGATTATTATTGTTTGTTCTTACAGAAAAACACAAGGTGGAAGGCGATAAATAACATTTTATTGTGAAACATGCACAAATCAACCCTGCTATGCATATTTGGAATTATTTCAGAATATACCATACTCTGTAGGAGATTATAAGATACAAATTTGGATTTTGTTTTGTAAATATGTGTTCCTCAACGCCTATAAATACATATAAAAAACAATTTTCATTGCAATGCCTTACTGGGTTCTAAAAATTTTATTTTATAATATCACGATTCCAGGGTGTTGTATGTTTTCGCAAAAAAAATGGCGTCGAGTTGCTGGGTAGGGTAATGTCCGAAACGGTGCCGAGTGCAAAAGGTTTACTCCTAAATTTATTATTTATCGTATAAAATAAGAGAATCATCTAAAGAATTGTTGATAATGAAATAAAATATTATTGGCAAATATAAATAATTTTAATAAATTGTTCAAATAAATATTTTCAATTTTTTCATAAACATTTTTTAATTAATTTATGATTATTAATTTAAATAAAACTTTGTTGCTAGAATTATTTCCTTTTTAACCTTTTGCACTCGAGGGCTTAGCTACGGAGACAATAAAAAAAAAAGAAAAATTGAAACAAATTCAATTCAGTCAACCACAAAATTATTTTTTTATTTATTAGGTTTATGTCATTTATTTATAATACTTAAATATGATTTTTTTACTTTGTAAGTTGTTGGTAATATTTGAAATGAAAAAAAAATTTGAGTGTAAAGGGTTAAATAAAAATTTGTTATTTAAATTAATAATCAGAATGACTGATACTCATAAATATTTATAAATCGGTATAAATTTTCTTAGAAATTTAATAAATAATATTAAAAATCTTTAGTGTATGACCTATTGAAAACGCGTAATAACAAAATAATACGATGAAGTGAAAATTTTGAATTATGGAGTATTTATTAATATGAATATTTCTTTTGTTGTGAATATTTCTTTTGTGAAATTCTGTCGAATACTCTCTTTCATACACACACACACACACACACACACACACACACACACACTTATATATATACTGTGTTGCTTTTATAAAATCTCGGATATAACGAGTTTCACGTTGAAAGATTTTTCATTCGGTCTTTTGTACCGGTGTTGCTGCTCTTCGTTGAGCTTGGATCGCTGAACTTTTTTATTCTCCTCTTCTTCCTCCTCCTCCTCCTACTAGTTTTTGTCCTACACCCCTGTTTTTCTAACGATCCTCAATGTAATCATTTTCACGTAATTTTTTTTCCAGCCGACGAAACTCAACGTTTACAAGAACGATGCTGAGAGCTGGGACTACACAACTCCTACTTTGGGTAAGTACTTTTTTATTTATATTTATATTTTTATTTTTATTTTTATTTATTTATTTATTTATATTTCTTAGCGTTATTATTAATATTATTTTTTCGTTTATTATTATTATCATTACTATTATTATTTTATTATTATTATTATTATTATTATTATTATTATTATTATTATTATTATTATTTTGTTATATTAT